TGGATTAAATGGCTTATATGGCTTTTCTAGAATTACAAGGATTTTTAATTTTTTTGCTTTTTAATTTTTATTAGTATATGGTTTTTTAACATAATAACTACATTTTGCATAGAGAACTGGTTAATGTTCCTACACGTTTTAACTGTTCTTCACCCCTTCCTCTGCCTCCCCTCCCTCTCCTGATCACTTTTCCTTTTGCAAAACATTTATCTCCCTGTTTCCCATTATCTCTTATTTTTCTCTGTAACTTATTTATACTTTGCATTTCTCCTATAAGAGAAACCATACAATATTTAAGGTTTATAGGAAATGTGGCAGCTCTACACCTAGGATTACTACTCTGCCATAAAGAAGGATACACTGGGGTCATTTGTGGGGAAACTGATGCACTTTGAAACCAGAATGTTAAGTAAAATAAATCAGTGGGTGAGCCTGGATGTCCCAAGAGAATGAGGAAAAGCGCAGTTAGATTTTACAATTGACAGTGACTTAAATATTTTCAACAAGGAATCAAAAAACATCTTATTCTACTTTGTTGCTGTTTAAAGCGAGGAATAAACAAGTTTCATTGCCCTACTTGTCAGCATCTGTCCCTGAAATGCATGGCTATGCCTTCTCTGTGGCTGTGGGTTCAAAGGAGCCAGCACACACTGACAGTTACAAGCAGTGAGAAAACACTATTACCGTAGTCCATTGGTGGGGCTGAAATGCACAACCTTGAGAAGGGGCAGAAGCAGTTTGTGGTGAATAAGCAAACTTCTGGTGCTATATTTTTCAAGAAAGGTCAAATTGCCCATTGTTTAAAAAACAAACAAACAAAAAACCAGATTGGATTAGTTAGCTCGCAGAGCAGGCATGACATACAGCGCAGTGTGAACTTCAGAGGGGGCAGAATGATGTTCAGAGACAGCGAGGTGGCAAATGACGCAATAATCTGACCGCTGAAGAGCCGGGTCAGACCCAGTGGCTCCCGCAGCCTGCCCAGGCCTGGAGCCCCTTGCATGTGCTGTCAGTACCCCCTGCTGTGTCAACCTTCAAATCAGGGATTTGTCCCGGGCACTATGCTTATTCTTGGTCAAGTGCAAGGCACATATTTGAGCTAGCTACTCCTTCCTAGCAGTTTAAAATGGTGAATGAGATCTGACACCCACACACACCCAGAAGCAAGTAATTCAAAACAATGCATCTGGCTGCTAATCTGCTTTCAGCTCCCCTGATTTGCAAAGATCTGTGAGCAGGAGAGTGGCGTAGGATACTCTGCCAGGTAATGCTTGATTTCAGGTCTAATGTCTCCATTTCTAATTTGCTTTGAAATCAAAAAGAGCCTCGTGGATGCTCTACGAAATGATACTAGGAATTACAGCTAATGTGGCTGTCATAGAATTGACAATTGCCCTAAGCTGAATTCAGCTCTGTATTCACTGAGGGACAGACAGGCTGCTTCCCAAAAGAAAGGAGAAACACAAGCTTCGGGGTTCCCAGAACCGGGCACACATTTTCTCCAGGTAACTCTTTACTGAAGCTTTAAGATTTAGAATTTCCGAAATTTGATTGACAAAGCTAAGTGCCCTGGGCCCCCATACTGATGTCACTCATCTCTAATATTAGCAGCAAAGCACTTCAGGTTCACCTGGGGAAGAGGAACTTTTATTTTTGAGTGGAACAGGAGCAGATACTAAAAATGAACATGGTGATACTTCCTTCTGGAATATCTGACACAGATAAAATAGGTAAACCTGTTCAGTAAAACTATTTTGAATCAAATGGGAAAGGAATTCAATTCAGTGAGAAGTCTGATGTATTTACAGAGTTTTTATGTAGCCTTGCTCATATGACCACTGAGGAATTAAGAGATAAAAGGAAAGTATATTAAGTTGTTTCATTGCACAATGAAACAAAAAATTATCAGCTGTTTGTGAAAATTACATATGGCTGAGAGGAAGCTTTTGGAGAGGTGCTACAGCCCAGCAGGTAAAGTTGGTCATTGTGCAGCAGTGCTTAAGTGGATCAGTGTAGCTGGACAGTGGCCAGCTCTGTGTGGCTCGGACGCTGATAGAACCGGTAGACGCAGGTGTGCCATGTGGAGTGGCAGAGATGGGGCTGGTTTCCCACAGCCTCAGCTGGAAGGTCCTCCGGCCTTCCCTGCAGAGTGAGTGGCACCGTCAGGATCAAGAGTGCTCCACAGGCTACAAGTCCCACCGAGAGGCAGTAGAACGAAGTAAGGGCCACTGAGGGAGAGACCCAGCTATCTCTAGTGCACCGAAAACACCTCTCGCTTTCAAAATCACCACATGAATTTGCTAACCATTCTCTTTAGAAAAGGAAGATATTTGAAGAATAAGAGGAATTTAAAAGTTAAGGAAATAGAAACACCAAAGCTCAAGATGGGTTCTATTACCACCGTATCAATATTTGTCTGGCATTGAAGTTTCCTCGTATTTTAAATTTTTTCAAGCTGTGTTCCATAAAAGCTGCCCAGTGTGTTTAAACAACAGCGGCAAGAAAATGAGTCACATTTAATTCTTGCTACTTTGCAGTTTGTTTTTGCTGACAGTTTTCCAGTTTGGTCTTCTAAAGCTGGAGCCAAGTGATCATTATCTTCTTAAGTTGCAAATAGGGCAAATCCTCCCACCTCGGGTGCTGAGCTTGCTCACATAAGAACTCAATCTCATAAGCTGGCTTTTCTGAGTGTATTAGAAAAACTGGACTATGAAGCCTGTGGCTTAGAACCATTTTGCTCTGCATGGTTTTCTACACCGAGTCACTCTTCCCTGTTGTTCTTAGACTCACTGGAAGACTAAAATTACATGAAATTTGCATCTACATCTTTTTTCCCCACGACAACACAAAGTTGCACAAATTCAAGCCTGAAGTAACCCTCCTCTCCCCTGCCATGCTCCCAAAGAGCCTCATGATAGGACAAACCCACTGCTGTGTGAAGGCATGCTCCTCTTATTGTGTCGCTCCCAGGTTCTTGATTCCTTGAGGTGGAGCTCTCTTTATCCTCACGATTGTCTCCAGTGACCTCTCCTTGTGTATTTGCTGATTCATTACAGTGAGTTGTTTCTACCTGGAAGAAGTTATTCACTTCAAACTTTTATTTTGTTTTTTGTTTTATTTTGGATTTAGCTTTTTATTATTATTATTTCTAATTCTCTTCATTTTATTTTATTTTTTAATTTTATTGAGAAACAAATAGCAATGAGACAGCTACAATAATTAATACATTCATATTGTTGTCTTTGTAGCAGTTATTCATAGTACAAGATGCAGATATGATATCCTGTCCAAACACTATTAGTACAAATCATTCTTCTCATTGAATTAAGAGAAAGTAGCTGTATATCTATCCCAACTATTATATCTATATCTATATATATATATATATATATGTATATATATCTCACTACATTGATAGTAGTAGTGATATATATATGGTCCTTCATTTATAGCACCTTTTTGTTTAGTTTTCTCAGAGATTTTGTCCTCCATACTATACTGCTTTTGCTCTAGCTTCCTCTTTTAAAATCAATGGAGTTTTATATGATGAAGAAAAGCTTTCTGGTGGTTCATCTCATAGATTTCTAAGAAATGATTGAAAGAACAATGTCTTACAAACATTATTTTCATAGAAGAAGTGCAGTTCTTTTTTCTCCTATTACAGTTCAAGATATTTTTCATGTGTATCTTCATGAAACAGTTCCCTTCCATCTAGAAATATCCAATGAGGGACACTTAGTGCCACATCTGGGCGAGTCAGCAGAACCAGGAAGCAACAGCATCACTCCTCGTATTTGATGCTAGGTAACACATTAGCACACATTGTCACTGCTGTCCTCACAACAGGACGCAGGGTGGATGGCACCAGCAGCATCATTCTGTCTCACTAATCAGAAATTGAACCCCAGGAAAAAGAGGCCATTTCCCCAAGGTCACCCGACTAGGACCCCCAGGTTTTCCAGCTCTTTGCACTGTGATGTAAATCTTAGTTATGCAATGAAACTGTGTGTTACTTGGGTGACATTTTATAAACAACAAGCAGGAGGCAGAACTGTGATGCAGAAATGAGAGCACCAATTGCTAACTCTAATGAAACCAAAACTGATGACAAATGAAGGAGAACCCAGAGAAGTGAACTGAGCTGCTAACTGAAAAACCTGAGGCAGAAGCAGCATGCATACTTGTATTCTTCCGAGATCATCTGCCCAGCAAGCAAGGCACGCGCTTTCCTCCAACATTACAAGGATTTCAGCCTTGCCTTCTTGGCGTGGACCGCTACACTAACTCTATGAGGCACCGTCACCCTCAGAATTTGGTTTCTTCTGTGACAAACAATTTGGTGGAATCTAGATTTCTATAAGGGCTCATAGGCAAATAAGATTAGCATGTCTAGCTCTATTTTTTCAACAAAAGTATATTTATTTTCCTTGATTAATTTTTGGGGATAAAAATTGTAAAGGAAGAAAGAAAAATTATTTTTAAAAGATTGTCCAACTTTCCTGTGGTAATTTTACCCTATCTTGTACTTTAAAAACATAGAATATAATTAAGATAATATAAAAACGGCTTTGTATTTCTTCTTCCCTTGAAAATAACTTGTTTTAGAAGCCAGTTTGTTAGTCAATAGGTCAGTAGACATTAATTAAGTTCCTACTGTGTGTCAGGCTTTGGGATGAATGATTGGTTGGTGAATAAAGTCCCTTGCCCAGGATAAACTCATGCTAGGAGAAAAAAAAGGCAATGAGTGTATAAATAAGCTAGCAAAGAGATAATTTGGGTCTGAAAACACATTTTGCATGAACCATTTTGTTTCTTGCTGAGTCTTAGCAGACTTGGGGCTTCTTGATAATGAAAGGCTGGGGAACAAGAGCTACTTCCTAGGATGGCAAATGGCTCTGTCACTGCCATTGTTCTTGTTGAGAAAGATGTACTGTTGATGGTTGACTGTGTAGTTTCTCCTGAGGAAGCAATGACCATGTGTTGTTTTATTTTTATTCTAGAAATCTTGGAAAATCAGGACTCAGAGTTTCTTGCTTGGGTCTTGGTAAGTACTTGGGGTGCCATACAGGGGAGGTGCATGAGAAGGTGGGAGCCTGGGGAGGTGCGGGGAGCGACTGAGGCACAGACCTGGCCCAGACTCAGGTGAGAGCACCACCCCACTTCGTGTCCCAGGCCTTGCCCTGTGAGACACCAGCCTGTCCCTCTCTAGGCCAAGAAGCCACTGTGTTGATAGGACCTCACAGGGGTTCATCAGGCAGCCTTGGAGGAGGGACTCACATGCTGCACCCTTGTGGCATGGACTCACATGAGCCTGGCACTGCTTCCCCAATTCACCTGAGTGTTTTTTACACCTGCCCCTATTTTCCTTTCACCTAATTTCCTCACTTACTTTTGTATTTTGTGATATATTTCATGTATTTTTATTTACCTGCCTTAAATACTTGTGGAGGACATGGATGACACATATACGCATGTACATATGCATTAATACACATTAGAAACTAAGGGTCTTTATTCCTAGGGGTATATCTCAGTGGTAGAGCACTTACCTGGCATGTACCATGTCCTGAGTTTGAACACTAGCACTAAAAAATACTGCTATTCCTCTCTGGAGAGGTAAATATTTAAGAAAGATCTAGTAGAGATGGCAATTCTACAGCACACAGTGGAATCTGAAACAGTGAAATCTGAGTTATAAGACCTGGGAAGACATGTGGCTTCCCACTGCCCCCCAGGTGTGAAAGAAGACTGCCTGGGCCTTTGCCATCCAAGGCCACCTGAGCCCCAGCTACAGTCGAAGAAATTCTACAGCAGAGGGACAGCTGAGGGAGTAGGGCGAAGTGCTCAGGCGGCAGCTCTGTAGGTAGAACTCAAAAAGGTTTCTGTTGGATCCTATGTAGGAGGGAGGAAAAAGGAGAAAGCTCGATGATGACTGAGATATTTTATATTTTATTTTTTTTCAGAAAGGATGGAGTTGCTAGCAGATGAGACAAAATAGTGAAGAAGAGACCTAGGGCAGAAGGACTAGGAGTTTGGTTTTAGACACGGTAGCTTTCGGGAATTAGGCACAGAAGAAAAGTTGCCAAATAAATAAAAGGACAAATAAATACAGAATTTAGAAGTGAGATTTAGATCAGGAGATGAAATTTGGGCATCTTAACTTGTCGATGCTGTCTCACCCACACATACACTAGATGAGAACTTGAAGGGAGGGAGCAGAGACAGTACAGAACACCCATGCCCGTGCTCCAAGGCCTGCGATATCTAACACTAAAAGTTAGGAAAGGAGGGAAGAGACAGCAAAGAAAACTGAAACTAACTACTCAGTATGGGAATAGGAGAATCTAGAGAAAATGGAGTCCTGGGATGCAAGTAAAGAAAACATGTCAAGGAAAACAGATTGTCTTCCAAGTTGGTTAACCATTGATGAAAAGCAGTCATAAGTGCACACTCAGTAAGTACATAGAGCTGGGGGAGGCAGCTCAGCTGCACAAGTGCCTGCCTGGCAAACACAAGGTCCGGAGTTCGATCTCCAGAACCAAAAATACATATATACATACATACATACATACATACATAGAAAATGCAACCAAAAACCTTTAAAACTCAGATGCCCACGGAATGCCATGGGTAAATGAGTCTCTAGAGGGCAGACTGCAGTTTGCTTGTTTGTTTATTTTTACATTCAGGATATGTGAGCTATAAGCATATTATTAAAGTTTGAAATAAACAAAGAAATCAAGGCCTAATTTGAGCTTCAAGTTTTTCTGAGAGCCTAAGCACTTGTGATAAGACACTGTAAAAAAAAAAAAAAAAAAAAAAAAAAAAAAAAAAAAAAAAAAAAAAAAAAAACCCACAAGAGAAACAAGGCAGTTCATGGTGCTGACTGGCTTCATTCAGCACAGGTAACAAAGCTTGACAGCTTGAATGAGTGCTCTTTGAGAACTTTCCTGAGCTACCTCTGTAAGGCAGGAGAGACAAAATAGTCACAGGAAGGAACAATGTACAAGCCTCAGGTAATGTTTCAGACTTTGTAGACCCCGGCTGTCAAATCCAAGCAGAGCTGGATTTATTGCTACAGTCTTAAAATATCAGAGCTCAGTCATGTCCCGTGTTCCCCTGGGGCTTTGGAAATGACATTAAAATGTCCAGGCATCAAAAGACTACAAATGTCTTGTACTGAAGTACTTTGAAGGTCAGCATTAAAGCTAACAATCCCGATCTCCTTCTCTGCTAGAGAAGACAGGCGAGGGTTTTCTTGCCCTGCCAAGCTTTCTTTTAATAAACAAAGACCATATAAGTGTACAAGAGGTGGCAAGACTTCAGGGAGAAATACATCTGAAGAAACACTGCTCTGCCAAGACAAAAACATGGGAAGGAAAATTAAGTGACTCGTCCCACCTGTTACTGTGGGTGACTGGAAGTAGAAATGCACTGCCCACCAAGAGGAGCTGAGGTCACCTAAAGGAGAAGGAAAGTTAAGAGATAAAGGCACTGCAGTATGGTCCAAAGTCATCCTCTCCTAGTAGAAAGTATCTTCTCAGAAAGGAATTCACTCACACATTCATTCTTAGGCAAACACTTATGAAGCCAAGCTTCATGCTGCTATACAGAGGATCCTAAGGTGGACATGGTACTGGCCACGTTCACAGTGCAGTGGGAACTCTTCCGCATGCAAAAGCAAAGTGACAGCAGATCCGACAAATGCCATAATGGAGAGCATAGGATACAGCAAGCACAGGGAAGACCTGGGGACGTAGGACAGATTCACAGGGCCAACTCCACCTGACTGAGCCTTGAAGGAGAGTCCCATGCAGAAGGAGAGCAGTGGGCTCAAGCAGAGCAGTCATACAAGCAGCATGGGGCAGGAGACCCCATGTGGGGAGGAAGCTAGAGGTAAGGTCTTAAGCATAGAGCAAGGTCACAACATGGTGTTGGAGAGGTAAGAAAGCAGATGGAGGAGAGGCATAGCCTGGCTGTGGGGGCCCTGTCATGGAGCCCTGCCTTGCTGAGGCTCTTAGCTTTTCTCCTCTAGGCTCCTGGTGTCCTTCAGTTCTAAAGACTGGGATCTTAGGAAATGCTTGGGGGGTGAGCCAGAGCCAGGGCTGTGCCTTTCTCCCATTCCCTCCTGCTATCTACCACACTTTCATCAATACAGCCCTTTTTTTCTCTTTATATTATATATTTTTAACAATAAACTATTTTTAGAACAGTTTTAGGTTCACAGTAAAATGAGCACAAAGCACAGTTTCTAGGCACACACACAACCTCCCCACTACGATCCTCCCCACCAGAGCTGTGCATTTGCCATTCAGTGAATTCTCATGATTCTGACACAGAATTGTCACCTAATGTCCATATTTTACATTTAGGATTCACTCTTGGTGTGGTGTATTCTATGAGTTTTAACAAATGTGCAGTGGTATGTGCCTACAATAGAACCATGAAGAACAGTTTTACTGCCCCTCAAATCCTCAATGGCCTGCTTACTTATCCCCCTTATCTTTTAGAAACTACTGATTTGATCGTCTTAGTTTTATATTTTCCATAAAGCCATCTAGTTGTGCTCATATGGCGTATAGCCTTTCAGACTGGCTTCTTTCTCATAGATATGTCTTCAAGTTTCCTTTTTGTCTTTTTATGACTTGTTAGCTCATTTCTTTTTAGTACTTTACATTACTAAAAGGGTAGTATTTTGCCCTCCCCCCAAGTTTAAAACCTTGCTCTAGCTTATGGAGAGCCATTGAAAACATGGATCAGGTATACGTTATGATCAAATATGTTAGTATTATTTTTTGGCAGAAACGTGAAAGCTAGATTAGAGAAAAAATGATTGAGGATAGAGACAGGAAAATTAATTATGAGTCAGTGACTATTTTTCAGAGCACTTTTAGATTCACACAAAATTGAGCAGAAGATAGCTTCCACATACCTGTCTCCAGATATCCACAGCCTTCTTCATTTCAACATTCCTCATCAGAGTAGTACACTTGCTGCAGCCAATGAGCCTTGGCTGTGTGAAGGGGAGGTTACAAAATATGTAGAGGGAAAAAATTGTTAGGCGGGAAGAATGAAAAGAACTGGTGGCCTTGGGCATAGAATGGGGAGGGTTCCTCAAGGGAGAAGGGTACCCGTGTTCCTGAGTTGGGCACAGGGGTGAGTGAGCTGAGACCTTAGAAGAAATACAAAAGGCAGCTGAATGCATCTGATTGCAGAAGCTAAGTAGAGTTGCTCAAGGTTAGTGCTTGGATGGGACAGATACTCAGCATCAGGGACCATCCTGGAGACTAGGACATGCACTCAGTGACATGGAGTCTGAGGTCAGGCTGGTGTCCAGAGCAATCTCAGTCCAGCTCTGTCCTCTGCAATTAGAAAGGGGCAACAGCCCACACTTGGAGCAATGAAGCCGTAACATGCAACATTGAACACCCGGAAGATATTGGCACCTGGAAAGGCTATGCTGAGTCTCATGAGAGGCATTTCTTCTCAACTCCTGCTGCCCACTAGAGCAACCTGTGGTGCTTGGAAAACTGCAGATAGCAGCCTCTACCCAGACCTTCTGGATATGGCCACTCTTGATGCAGATGTCTTAGAAAGGCTGGAGCAGAGGCGATATCAGGTTGGAGGCTGTTAACTTGAGCAGCTAGGAAGAGATGAAGAAGCATGTGATTGCCACCTGGAGAGCCAGCCCCAAGTGGCCACAATTCTCACCTACTCAGTGGCTGCTGCCTGCAGATCTAGCACCTGGAACTGGCCAGACACTTTTCCACTTGACCTGGAATTTTCCAAGACAGGAATCTACCCAGGTTGGAGCTGGCCCTGGGGCTTTTCAGAAGCCAAGGTCAAGCAGATACTGCTCCTGTCATCAGGTACCCAGCTTTGCCTTATGCCCTGTCTTAGCCAATGCTACTAGACCATTGATAGTGAATCTTCAGAAAAAGCTTTGTGGACTCTTTTTAATATATTGTGTATGTGCAGAATGTACTTCTGGCTTGTTTCCCTCTGCCTTAGAGATGTTCTCACTGTGCTAAATATTTTGACACT